GGCGAGGGAGGCTCTGGGGGCGGGCAGGGACAGCTCCCCCACCCCTCCCCACAGTGTCCCCCTGCCCAGCCCCTCTGCGGCCGAAGGAGGAGACTGCTGCTGCTGCTGCCGCCGCTCAAATCTCAACGCTCAGCCAGAAGACCTTGCCGGACCTTCCGGTTAAGCGCCCCCACGTCCGTTTCCACCTCCTGGTGCCTCACCCCTCTCTGCACAAGGCCATCCCTGATTCTCCGGACAAGTTCCTCCCCTTGAGAAAATGCCCACAGCCGAGCGCCTGGAGCTCTAGAGGGCATTTATACTCCCTGAGCTTGATTGACTGATTGATTGATTGGTTCGGTTTAGCACTGCCTGACTCCAGACAGCTCACGACACGAGCAATTTAAAACAACCATCTACACAACAGTAAAAAGATGGCGGATCCGGTTGACACATAAATCATACACCCAACAGGGGCTGCAGACCCCCTACCCCAAAGCCTGGGAGCAGACCCAGGCCTTCAAGGCCTTACAGAACGCCATCCGGGTGGGAAGGCACCCAGAGCAGGCCAACCCTGGAGATACCCCAGGAGATGGGTGGTGCCTCAAATAAGCAGGCCCCGTGTCCCGAGGGCTTTATAGTGCAAAACCAGCACCTTGAATCGGACCCAGAAGCCTCCTGGGAGCCAGTGCAGCTTGCAAAGCAGGGGTGTCACAGTGATGGGCCTTGGTGTGCCCATCACTGCCCACACCACCACATTGTGGACCAGCTGAAACTTCTGGGTGGTCTTCAAGGACAGCCTCATGATGACCGACCCTCCCTCCCTCCCTCGCTGTCCGTCCATCCTTCCTCCCTCTCCTTCCTCCCTCCCTCCCTGTCCTCCCTTCCTCGCTGTCCGTCCATCCTTCCGTCCTCCCTCCCTCCCTCTCCTTCCTTCCTTCTTCCCTCCCTCCCTCCCTGTCCTTCCTTCCTTCCTCCCTCCCTCCCTCTCCTTCCTTCCTTCTTCCCTCCCTCCCTCCCTGTCCTTCCTTCCTTCCTCCCTC